GGTGAGATTTGAACCGCTGAACTGCTGATCTAACAGTCAGCCTGCAGTGCTGCATTTAACCACTGCGCCACCTTGGCTCTTGCCAAGACGTGCCTTGATGACGTCTGGGTGGGTGAGCAGAGCCTTGCGCTTCCACCACTACTGGTAGCATGCCACCCCTGGTTTGTTATCTGAGTTTGGACTCATTTTATGATCTTTCCTGCTAAATTGCTTAGTGAATCACTGCGGTTAATAACACAGTTGTTAAGTGAGTCTGGCTTCCTCATTGACTTTGGTTGTCAGAAAGTCACAAAAGGGGGAATCACGTGACCCCGGGATAATGAAGCCATCATAAATAGGAACTGATTGCCAAGCGTCTGAGTTTGGATCATGTGATCCTAAGAATGCCTAAGTCATTTTCTTCAGTGCTGTTGTAACTTCGGATGGTTGCTAAACAAACTGTTGTAAGTCAAGGACTACCTGTATTGCCTTACCACTTGCGCAATCCTAGTTAGAAAGTCTGCAGAAAGACAGGTTGGGTTAACCTTTTGTTGCAAAACCAATAAGACGTTTTGAGGCGCCAGATTATTAGAACTGCCTCAAAGGACATGATCATCTTATTTCCATAGATTGTGCAAGCAAAACCTTCTGCCCCAGGCATGACTCTTTTAGTGGTCACTTCCTTAACTCCTGGAGCCCATAGGTGTCCTGAGATGCTCTTGGCCTGGTTTCTTAGTAACCACCATCAATGGTTCACTTACTGGCAGCGCTCTCTTTAGTAGCTTAGGTAGCACATTTATTCTCTAATCTTTTAGGCCATACAGTTAATTAGATGACATGTCCTAGAAAATCCAAACAGGAGCCATATTTTAGTTTAGACCGTGTCTTTTTTTCACGAGAGTCACAAAGTAAATTAAGCAGCTCCAAGCAACAGAAGTAATAAAAGTAGCTCTAAGTCACTTTGACCTCTAAAAAAAAAAAAAAAGGAATAAAAATGACTTTATGAAGTACACAAAGGGATTATGAGAAAAAAGTATTTCATTTAAAGGACCACAAAGTTTTATTCTTATTGTATCATAATTATGACTGACTTTTTAGAACTCTAGGATAGTCGTACCCAAATTCAGGAACTTGTTTTCAGTTAAATTAAAGAGTGTATTTTAGAAGAGAATGCGTTCCTCCATCTTTAAGACGATAAATATTCAGGTTGTAAAGAGCTTTGTCTTTTGAAATTCTATTTATTGGTATTAGCTGTTTAGTTGGCTTTGAACAATTCTTGTCTTTTGAACAGAGATAAATAGATGCAGATAAAAATTATACTTTAGAAATTTAATAGCAATGTTGTTATTCTTTTATACCTAGGTGGAGAACTCATCTTTTTATCAGAGGATCAAAAGAAATATTATAATGCACTAAAAAAGCTTGGTACCAAGAAACCACATAAGACTATTCCACGACCTCTGGTAAGGCTCTTGCGAACAGCAATGCATTTGCATTGTTAACTTGGAAAGATTTTTCAGAAATTTTAGTAAAGCCAAACATAAAACATTTTTTTTCCTGCACGAGCCCTGGTGGCGCAGTGGTTAGAACGCAGTATTGCTGGCTAACTCTACCAATTGCCAGGAGTTCAATCCTGACTTACTCAAAGTTGACTCAGCCTTCCATCCTTCCGAGGTTGGTTAAATGAGGACCAGATTGTTGGGGGCAATAGGCTGACTCTGTAAACGGCTTAGAAGGGGCCGTAAAAGCAACATGAAACAGTATGTTAGATACCGTGAAGCAGTTTGTAAGTGACATTGCTAAGATTCAATGTGTTACAAATAGACCAGGAGTTACGGCCAGAATAAAGCTGACACATCATGATTATAACTCAAGACCAACCCAATTTTATGATGTTTTACATTGTCCCCAAGATGCTTTTTTTCAGGAGGCAACTGGACTTTCTTGTTTTTTCTTTGAAGATGTTTTACTTCTCATCCAAGAAGTTTCTTCAGCTCTGACCGGATGAAACCCTTCCATTCCCCACCATCCAGCCAGAGCTGAAGAAGCTTCTTGGGTGAAAAGCGAAATGTCTTCAAGGAAAAATCAGAAAGTCCAGTTGCATCCTGAAAAAAGCACCTGTGTGATTGTAAAAAGTTGTAAATACAGGCCAGTTGCCAAGCACCCAAAGTACAGTCACATGACTGTGGAAAGGTCAACCATCAGAATTGAGTTCCAATAGATGCATCAGACCTTCAAATAATCTCTAAATAACCGGGTGATTAGTTGTATTCTTATAAAACTAAAGTAAAAGTAACAAAATTTTAAAGATTATGCCAAAGTCAGCTCAGGTTAGTTTGCAATAAATCTGCCATCTTGAATCACAGGGAAAATGCCAACCAATCTGCATTCCTTACATCTGGTTAATACAGAAAGTATAAAAATGTTATTCAGAATAACAGAAGAGCAGAGTTGGAAGGGGCCTAAGAGGTCTTCTAGTCCAACCCCCTACTCAAGTAGGAGACCCTACACCATTTTAGACAAAGGGTTGTCCAATCTCTTCTTTAAAATTTCAGTGATTCATGGATTACGGTAATTATTTTGACTGTCAGGAAATTTCTCCTTAGTTCTAGGTTGATTCTCTCCTTGTGTAAAGTACCGTAATGATGCCTGCTTCATCATACAAAAAACAGTGATTTATTAACAGCTTCATTAGGCATTCTTCATTAGGCATTTCTTATTCGTAGCCATCTTTTTTGCTTTCTTTATCTGCTTTTGAACTTTGCCCGTGTTTCTGTCCTCCCTTCAACCTGTCATAAATCATGTTATCCAATAGCTTCATTCATTTCAACCCAGCTACTGTAATCTGAGATCCGGCTCCGCCGCTGCTCTGCATGGAATGTCAAGACAGAGAGTTGACACCTCGATTAGTTTCTATCTGTTGCTTCTTGTCCTGCCCTCAGGTGCTTTCAGTTAAGGGTGGGTCCCAAGGGTGGGATTCAAAAATTTTAGCAACTGGTTCTATGCCTAGTTGCTGGGTGGGTGCAGCCATGGTAGGCGGGGTGTATTTGGCCTCCTGCACCAAGATGAGGGGAGGAGACGGTGCTTTTGCCCTCCCCAGGTTCTGGAGGCTTTCCTTGAGACTCTGGGTGGGCGAAAACAGTCTCCAAGCTCCAAAGGCCCCCTGCGTCTGTTTCTGGACTTCCAGAACTTCCAGGAGGCCCATTTTTTGCCCTCCCAGAGCCTCCGTATGGGCCCTGCGCTTACCTGGAATCCAAAACAGGCCACGTGGAGATTCCTGGGATGGGAGGGGAGGGGAGGGTGGGGCCAGCCAGTCCAGCAACTATCGGTTTGGCAAACCAGATGTAAAATTAGCATTTGGCTCACCTGAACCAGTATGAACTAGCTGAATCCCACCCCAGATATTACCCAAACTGGAGTAAATTACCCAAATAGGATAAAAGCAGTTTTTCTTTGGGTAAACCATTGTTTTTTTTCCTGTGGAGTTAATGTTTTACCTAAATTGCCTAAAAGGGTGTTTCTGATAAGCAGTTTTCAATAAGGAAAGAAAAGTTTTGGGAAGCACCGAGCAAAGATCATCTGGTCCCAGGAGCTGCTGTGAATCTTATAGAAACAAACTTATTTTCCTCATTACCTGCAAAAAGGAAATCAAATATATCACTACTGCCCTCAGGATAATCCTTGGCAGACAGGCAGGAAGGAGGCAATCAAATGTTTTGAACTTGGTCAGCCAAATCCAGGGTGGGCTTCAAAAAATTTAGCAAGGAATTCTCTGCCCAGTTGCTGGGTGGGTTGTAGCCTAGTTGACCTCCTGCACCACGGGGGGAGGGGTTGCCCTCCCTGGGCTCTGGAGGCTTTCCTCAAGTCTTTGGGAGGGTGAAAACAGCCTCCCCAGGCTCTAGAGNATACCAAGAAGAAATCTGATAATTTCCAGACAGGATTTGGAAGTGCATGCTATCAGTGGCTGGTTGGCAAGGAGATGAATAGTTGTCTACTTCACCTATTCATCTCCGCCCCTGCCTTTTATCCCCAGAGCTAGGGCAGGGCTTCACTAGCAGCAGTGGCTCTTCCGTCCCAAGGACCTGCCCATAGATTTCCACTACTCTCCTCTGCATTCTGTACATCTGTGTGTCAGGCACTGGACCCCCTGTTCCTCCTCTTCCTGATCAGCCACCTCCAGATGTGGGGACTGTTGACTGTCCATCTGATGGCTGATGGACGATCCAGGCTCTGCCTCTGTTTCTATCTCTGACAGATCCATTCCCTCTTCCCCCTCGGAGTTCTCAGGTTGCCTTGATACTGACCCTGATTCCCACACTTCCTCCTCATCCTCTGATTTGGCTGCTAGAAGGACCCGTGGCCAATAGTTCAACAGACTTTTTGAATAATCCAAATATGGCTCTAATATGCTTATACAATACAAAGCAATGCATGTTTCATGGCCAAAGGATGTGGATGACATAATTTACTCTTGTATGTTCATTACATTCATAATATTTCAGATTATACGTTTAAGATTTTGTCATTTTTTTACTGCTTTTAATACCATTTTATGGTATTGGGATGGAACTTCTTAGCATTAGAGGAACATGAACAACAAAATATTTCGGCGAAGCAAACTATTTCTTGGCTGTCTTTTTCTAGGAGAACAATCTGCGAAAAAGGAGAGAAATAGGCCAAGGCCAAAATCGAAGACTTTCTTCTCAAGTTTCTGAAACTACAAGTATTTGGTCTTTGGAAGTTCCCAAGGTAAATCTAATAAAAATGATTGAGATATCTTCATTACTTGCTGAGAAATTGGTATTTTGCATTCTCTAAAATTTGACCAGAGAAGTTACCATTCTTAGGTTACTCTTAAAAAAGGGTTCCAGATTTTTTTTGTCTCGCCCCCTTGGCATGCAGTGGGCCCTTCTGGTAAGCATGGAAAGGCAGAACTGAGTTTGTGTGTGTGGGACAAGGGGTCCCCCACATGATACTTTACTACCAATTGTCGGGGCAAGCAGCTTTTGAATTTAAAATCCAAGCAAATAGCATCCGTTCTTCAGAGGTATGTCATTTGAGTGGACAATAAACCCCGTAGGAACTCTAATTCTATAAACTCCAAATACTCTCAGTTCAGGGCACATTGTCCTATCGTAGCAACAAGGAAAACATTGAATAAAGCTTTTTGCATTTCACTCATTCATTTGCTTATTTATGTAATTGACTGTCGACACATGATTCAGGGCAGCCCATGAAATGTACAAACAATGACTCAATGTTGGAAAACCTTATAATGAAACACAGTATAAATATGTCAGTTACAGTAGGAAATACATATGTACATTCAGTAGCTTGCCTCCAGAAGTTGTGGGCGCTCCATCACTGGATGGTTTAAAAAGAGATCAGGCTGCCATTTGTCTGGAATGGAATATGCCAAGGTCTCCTGCTTGAGCAGGGGGTTGGACTAGATGACTTCCAAGTTTTCTTCCAACTCTGTTATTCTGTATTTTGCACATGGGCAGTTTGGGGCAGTATAATGTCATACAGAACCGAAAGTAGAATATCTCCAGATCCAGATAGTTCTCAAATCATGTTTTTCTTGTGGTTTACAACTTAATCCATGGATAAATTTCCTATGTATCATAGAAAATTTTCTGCATGCTACTTGGAGATCTCAAAGCTGTGTTAAAAAGTATGTTGAGTTTCAGCCCTTTTCTTTTCCTACCATGAATAGAATGTTCCTGAATAATGTGTTGAGCTGCCTTAATTCCTCATAAGTTAATTTTGATTTTTCTTTTCTCATATCCAGAGATCAGATTATGATACAAGCTGTTCAGAAATCAGCACAGTGGATCAGAGATCTCCTATCCTTCACATGCCTGAGATCAAGAAGGAACCTCAGGACTGTTTCCCACAAGGTGAAGGCCAAAGTTCAAAGTTCAATGCCTTTATTGTTATTATACATCATGTATACAATGAAATTTGTTTGGCCTCTACTGGTGCAGTCCGCACAAAAATACAAGACAACATGAATAATATAAAGAATAATCCTTATACAAGTAGTTAGGAGAAAAAACTAGTCATATGTTTCCATATGTACATCATATTCTGTGCAACATGTACATTACTCTAGTGCAAGGGTCCCCAAACTTGGCAACTTTAAGACTTGTGGACTTCAATTCCCAGAATTCTCTAGCCGGCACACACTTCCACAGCATAGATGGCTGGAGAATTCTGGAAGTCCACAAGTTTTATAATTGCCAGGTTTGAAGACCTCTGATCTAGTGTATGATCTTATATCATGGTAAATACATATTACACACTACACTGGCATCAGTGAAATTCATCTTATTAATCTGTTTGTGGTACTATATTGCATTTAGGAGTTTGACAGCCTATGGGTAGAAGTTGTTTTTAAACCTGTTTGTCCAGCTGACTATACTTCGATGTCTTCTACCCGATGGTAAAACTGAAAATAGACACTGGTCAGGGTGTGAATCATCTCTGAGTATCTTCCATGCTCTGCTAAAGCAGCGAGACCTGGTAATGTCATCCAGTGGTGTTAGGGGGCAACCGATGGCTTCTTGTGCTGAATTAGTCACTCTCTGTAGTGGTTTCTTGTCTGTGGCTGTTAAACCAGTGTACCATGCTGTTATACAGTATGTGAGCACACTTTCTATCCAGCTTTCTTGGCAGAAAATTAGTCCAGTTAAGCAAATCTGTTGAAATGTTGATCAATGGCAGTCATCCTTCTTGGTAAATGTGGCAATTTCAATATTATGGTTCACCCAGATTATTATTAGTATTAGTTTTATTCATTAAACATGAAATTGAACATTTAAAGATGTGTCCCAAATACTATTGACTTGTTTTTTGCCCTGCGGAGCCTTCAGGGAAGCCTCCTGAAGCTCCTGAGTGCTCCGGAGGGCTAAAACCGCCCTTACGAGCAAACCGGAAGTGACTCCCATTTTGCTCGTATGGTCATTTTTTATCCTCTGGAGCTTTCAGGGAAGCTTCCTGAAGGCTCCGGAGGGCGAAAACCAGCCCTATGAGGAAACCGGAACTCTGTTCCTGAACTTCTAGTTTGCCCATAGGGCTGGTTTTTCATGCTCCAGAGGCTTCAGGGAAGCTCCTGAAACGTCCGGAGGGCCTCCGGGTGGGGGGCAGGGGACACTGTTTTTGCCCTCCTCGGGCTCCTAAAAAGCCTCTGGAGCCTGGGGAGGGTGAAAAAAGTGTGCTAAAAATGTGTGTGTGTGTGCATGTACGCTGGGTCGTGCACATAGCTTTATCGCTGTGGCATGCCTGCACACGACCCCCCCTGCGCTCCCCCTGCTTTTGGCAATCAAGCCAAAAAAGGTTCGCCATCACTGACCTATGTCCTATGACTGCAAAAAAAAAAAAAAGACCCCAGGAATGGATTGGGTCCTGATCCATTTTCAAGAACTAACCATTACTATGTTCTTTATTTCAGTCTTCATGAAATTGTTTCCATGCTGCAGAGTGAATACAGATAAATTTCCAGGCAACACTTGGTGGAGATTTAGAAAAACCTGCTACAAAATTATCAAACATAATTGGTTTGAATCCTTCATTATATTCATGATATTATTGAGTAGTGGTGCTTTGGTAAGTTTACTATACTTTGAATCAACTCTGATTTTCTTTACCTTCTGCTGTTAATAAGATATTAATAATACAGATACTAGACTAGACTGGAATACGGAATACAGAACAGAACAGAGTAGGATATAATTCTTTATTGGCCAAATGTGATTGGACATACAAGGAATTTGTCTTTGGTGCATATGCTCTCAGTGTACATAAAGAAAAATAATATAGAATACATTCATCAAGAATAAAAAGATACAACAGTGATAGTCATAGGTTACTAATAAGTAATCAAATTATACTAGTGATGAAAGAAATGACCTGGGTTCGGCTCCAAGTGGGGAAAAAGACACTGGAGANCTTCTCATTAGGTGGCCAAAGTACTTGAGTTTCATCTCCAGGATCTGGCCTTTTAAAGAGCAGTCAGGGTTGATCTCCTCTAGGACTGACTGATTGGATGGCCTTGCAGTCCAAGGGACTCAATGCAGGAGTCTTCTTCTCCAGTACCAAAGTTCAAAGGCTTCCATTCTTTGGCGCTCAGCCTTCCTCATGGTCCAACCTTAACATCCATCCATTGCAACTGGGAAAAGCATAGCTTTGACTATATGCACTTTTGTTGGCAGGGTGATGTCTCTGCTTTTTAGGATGCTGCCTTAGTATTTCAAAGGACCTACAAAGGAAATTAATACATAACTCAATAGACCAGTTGGAGAATTTGAACATGTTTACTGGAATATGTTTAACTATAACAAATCATTTATTGGCTTAATATATTTATTAATAAATCTCTTGATTATTATTCATGCCTGGAATATATTGCTCTATCAGTTTTTAATCAAGAAAAGCCTCACCTATGTAGCCTTCTCCTTAAATAGGTTTTGAACAAATTATCCAATATTGTTCCAGGAATCATGAGGCCATTAAAGTACTAAGCATTTCCCTTGTAGGCAAATTACCTATTGTGAGTTTGTGTTTGCATTTCCTGTTACTCTGAAACCTGAGTTCTTGTTAGCCTGTGCTCAAAGCATTTATATCCAAAGGTGTGGCCCTTAGGAATGAAAATAATGTCCAAATGAATTCATTGAAACAGAATGATTTTAAATGTTTTGAGAGTGTTAAAATTGCAGAACAGTTTTGATAAATGCAACCACTTTGGGTTTTTTTCCCACCTTTGGTTTTATTTGACATATGAAAAAGAGTTGTGTCATAGAAGATGTATATTTCTATAGAAAAGGTGAGCTGCTTAGAAAGGGGAGAAGAAGATAAATATTGTCGAGATGAGGAGGAGGAGGAGGAGGAGGAGAGGAAGAGGAGGAGAAACAACTAGGGAGTCATTTTGTAGTGGTCCAAGGCCATGAAGAGAGTGTTCATCACAATGCAGAGGGTGATGATGAGNTTTAACATTTTCTAATGGTGGTGTGCCTCGTGATTTTTTTCATGAAAAAAGTGTGCCTTTGCACAAAAAAGGTTGAAAAACACTGCTCTAAACTGCACAGAATCTTAGCTAGAGGTTCTCCTGTGAACCCCTAGCAGCCCTGGCCAAATCTCTTGGGCAGTTTCTTTGATTCCGCATAGAGGAATCAAAAAGAAACTTGATTAACTTGGGGCAACAGCAATAGAAACATCTCCTTGAAACCTTTCAGGACTTCTTTAGGATATGTAGCCGATTCTGTCTTCCTGATTCTGTTAGGTTCTATTGGTGACTTCCAGGTTGGGATAAATAATTATCAAAGGATTTGAACTGCTTTGGAATCTTGATACTAACATCTTTCCTCCCCCCCCCTCTCCTTCCTTCTCTTTTCCTTCCTTCCTTCCCCCTTCCTTCCTTCTTTCCTTCCTTCTCTCCTTTTTTCCTGTCCCTCTGTTCTTTCCTCTTTCCCTTCATTCCTCCCTTTTCCTTCCTCCCACCCTCTTTTCCTCTCTGCCTGTTTTCCTCCCCCTGTCCCTTCTTTCTTTCCTTCCTTCCTTTTTCCCCTCTTTCCTTCCTTCTTTCCTACTTTTCTTCTTTCCTTCCTTCCCTCTCCTTCCCTTCTTTCTCCCCATTTCTTTTCCTTCCTTTCCTTCCTCTCTTTCCCTCCCTTCCACAGAACCAGTTCCAAGGATTTCTTTTTGATATCGTAAACAAGCAAGCATTCGAACTGTTCATCATCAGTCTTATCTTCTTAAACGTGGTGGTCATGGCCGTGGAATATGAAGGTCAAGATGTGGCTGCTGATCAACTTCTTGAAAAGATCAACTTTGTCTTTGTTGCCCTCTTCACTGGCGAGTGTGTAATGAAGCTGTTGGCTCTGAGGCTTTATTTCTTCAAAGACTCCTGGAACATATTTGATTTGGTGGTCGTCATTCTTTCCATCATTAGTAAGTAGACATTTTTTCCTTTACAAAGTCCTTAGCTTGCCAATGCTAACAAGCTACAAGGCAGATAATATTTGGCATGGTACACTTATTTACATTCTTAAACTTTCACGTCACATGTACATGTAGTCCTCAACTTAGGACCACTAGCACAAAATGTATGTTGTTAAGTGAGACAGTTGTTAAGTGAGTTCTGTCCAGTGGTGGGATTCAGCCAGTTTGCATCTATTTGTGAGACCCAGTTATTAACTTTCTAAGCAATTCGGAGAACCAGTTGTTTGAGGAAATCTCCTTTTGTTTTTTTCCACTCTACAGGGCTAATCCTGTAAGGAATGAAACATTCTGGTGTTATTTCTAGCCTAATCTTTATTGCCCTGCTTACAGAAACTGCCCCACCAGTTAACCCTTATGACATTATAACAGCACATCGACGTGAGTGACATTGAGTGGGCCACACCCACCCAGTCATATGACCACTCAGCCCCGCCTACCCAGCTGGTCATTAGGGCAGAGAGCCTGTTCTTAAATTATTTGAATCCCACCACTGGTCCTGTCCCATTCTACAACCTTTTTGCCATGGTTATGAAGTGAGTCTTTGTAGTTGTTAAATTAGTAACATGGTTGTTAAGTGAATCTGGCTGCCCCATTGAGTTTGCTTGTCAGAAGGTCACAAAAAGTGATCACATGACCCCAGGACACAGCAACTGTCATAAATATGAGTCAGTTGCCAAGCCCCTGAATTTTGGTCACGTGACCTCGGGGAGGCAGCAATGCTCTGAAAAACAGTTATAAACTTTTTCAGTGCAGTTGTAACTTCGAACGGTCACTAAATGAACTGTTGTAAGTCAAGCACTATCTCTATAAGGCAGACTTAGGAATGCATGGTTGCAAGAATTGGTTGTAAAGTGTTGCATGAAAATGAAATAATTCAGAATTTGGAAAAAGAAAACCGGCATAGCAGCAAACCAATGAATCTCCGGATCCTGTGACTGCGTATGTGTGTGAAACACATTTTAAGAAAGTAATCCATCAATTTGCTCTCTTGGGCCAGATCCCAACTGCCGTTACCTATCATTAAAAATGTGCTTTTATTTATTTATTTATTTATTTATTTATTTATTTATTTATTTATTTATTTATTTATTTATTTATTTATTTATTTATTTATTTATTTATTTNGAGGAGGAGGAGGAAGAGAAGACAATGACAACGACTTGCCAGCTACAAAAATATTTTGAATACAGTAAGCACAATAAGCTAATGGAAGGATAATGTACATATAGAGAGAACATTCCCAATCAATACAGAGAATCCTCGAAGGGATTTGCCACCCATCTGCAACAGCCAAAGGAGTGAAGAAGCAGAAGTTTCCAAAGACGACACCAGGGTAGTGGCCATATGGAGCAGGGGGGTGCTCTTCTTATTTTCCCTTCTCTTTCCATGCTCTAGTTGAAAAGAAGAAAATGGGATCCCCCATATATCAGCCCTCTGCTGGGTAAAAGCATTGCTTAATGGCCGTATACAATTTATTTCTCATTGTCCCCATATAGGCCTTTTGTGATGTAGCTCACTGAAGGGAACCATGAAACGTAGAGGCAGCTCAGCTCCAGGTTTTCCCCTTCTATATATGGAAACAGAAAACTACTCTCTGAAAAACAAACTGCAGATGCATAAAAGCTTTGGGGGGATTTTTCCTGTAATTAGAGAAGATTACAGCACGGTTGACAGCTTTTCAGGTTTTTTTTCTTTCCTTTTTAGCAGCACAGTTCCAAACAAGGTCATTTCAGCACTGCAAGCTCACAATCCACTGGTGGGTTCCTACCAGCTTGGACCGGTTCGGCCGAACCAATAGTGGTTTGGTGGCCTGGGTCATTGGAACTGGCAGCAACCCAGGCCTGCCACGGCCCTGAACTGGTTCCTCGATCTGCGCCATTGGTACCGTTTCAGGGCCAATATTTCAGTGCAAAGCGCGCACACAAGTGAACCAGCAGTAGTGCCATCCGGAACCCACCCCTGATCTGGGTTTAGTTCCAAGTGGAAAGAAAGATACTGGAAACATGGAAGCTGTTTGGAAAGATGGTTTAATGGTGGACAGTAGCACGTGGGGTTTTTGGGTTCTGCTCAATCGAGCACATGGGTGTGTGTGTGTGAGAGAGAGAGAGAGGGAAGAAGAGGAGAGAGGAAGGGAGAGATTTATACCCTCTCTTGGGCCCTGCCTTGGAGCTTCCTGTTCCCATGTAAGGGCAGGTATCCTGATTGGTTGTCAGACTCCCAGGAGGCCATGCAGGGGAAACTTTGTAGGTTGTCTTGAGTCCCAGGCTTGGTTGAATCTTGCTGGGTGTTGAGGTAATGAAGCTATCATGTCCTGAGGGTGACGTGAGCTGCAGGGAGCTGCTTTGTCTTTAAAAACACGTTTCTCCATATAATATAATATTCTGCCTTTTTAATGTTTCCTAGAATATTCCATTCTTCTAGGAGATGGGCGGGTGCCCAATTTTCTTACAATACCTACAATACCTCTTAGTGGTATGGTTTATCCTGCTGACCCCGTGATCATCTTTGTTGCGCTTCTCATTCTAGGGTCTCAACATCTTTTTTAACATCGTGGTGACTGGATGCAGAGTGTTCCAAATGGGACCTCAATAGTGCATTACAAATAGTCCTCGATTTATAACAGTTCATTTAGTGCCCGTTCAAACTTACAACAGCGCTGAAAAAAAGTGGCTTAGCACCATTTTTCACATGACCTTTGTAGCATCTCCATGCTCAAAATTCAGATGCTTGGCAACTGGCTCCTGTTTATGATGGTTGCAGTGTCCGGGAGGGTTGTGATCCCCTTTTGTGACCATCTGACAAGCAAAGTCCATAGGAATAGAATAACGGAGTTGGAAGGGACTTTGGAGGTCTTCTAGTCCAACCCCCTACTCAGGCAGGAAACCCTATACCTGTGATGGCAAATCTATGGCACATGTGCCACAGGGGGCACACAGAGCCTTCTCTGCAGGCACGCAAGCTATCGTGCCAGCTCAGCTCCATCACATGCACACATGCCTCCCACTGGGCAGCTAATTTTTGGATCTCTGCTGCACATGCGTGAGGAGGATGGCGCATGTGGGCAGCATGTGCGCATGCGCAGGGGGTGGGATAGGTGTAGGAAGTGCGACACACCCCATGGCCTGTTTTGATCCCAGGAGGCTACAGGGAGGCTTGCGAGGCCCAAAATGGGGTGTGGGGAGTCGGTTGCATGAATAGGTGGAGGGGTGCATGGGGGGGGGGGCTGTTGCGTGTATGTGTGCACTTTCAGCACACAATGACAAAAAGATTAGCACTCACTGCCCTATACTTAATTATTATTATAGTATAAAATTATTTATACATAAATTATACTATATATAATTTCAGAAAATTGGTTATCCAATCACTTGCTAAAAACCTCCAGTGTTGCAGCATTTACAACTTCTGGAGGCAAGTTGTTCCACTGGTTAATTGTTCCGCTAGGAAATTTCTAGAGTATCCAGATTCATTTAACAATCATATTACTAACTTAACAAATGCAGTGCTTCATTTAACAACTGTGGCAGGAAAAGTCACAAAATGAGTCAAACTCACTTAATAAATGTTTCTATTAACAACATAAATTTTGGGCTTAATTGTGGCCATAAGTCGAGGACTACCTTCATAAAGCAATGCTACCATTTTCCAGGATCTTGTTTCTATCCCTCTGTTGATGCAATGTAGGATTACATAGGACTATTTTGGGCAGCTGAAACATATTGCTGGCTCCTACTTAAGCAGGATTCTTGTCCAATAGGTATCTTCAGACTTGGAAACTTGGTCCAAAATAAGTGGGGCCTTTCTCCATTGTGAAGATCGTGAACCTGGTAACGGTGCAGCTGGAATCACCCAAAACCTTACAATTACAGCCTTCCCAAAGTCACTCCTATTGAGCCAGGCAGAGCCTATCCTGTATCACTACAGACACTAGAAATTGGACCCATGATATCTACTACTGAATTATGCCTATAGATCTCCCAGTGCTTTTATTAGGGGTCAAATTCATGGCTCTCCAATTTGAAACAGATGGCAATGCTGGTTATGGAGGATATTCAATCAAGAGGTGGGTTCAAAAATTTCAGCAACGGGTACTTTGCCTGGTTGCTGGGTGGGCGTGGCATGGTGGGCATGGCTAAGGTGGACCAGATTTTCAGATTGGTAAAGAGGGACANATGCAGCCTAGAACTGTGTTGGCTTTTTTGGCAGCTGCTGCACATGGCTGGCTCCTATTTATATGGTTGTCCACTAGGATTCCATACATTGTATGTTATGTATACAATTAAATTGGTCTTAGCCTCACTTGTACAATCCATGGCAACAAATACAAACAACATAAATAGTATAATGAATAATCCTTATGCAAGTAATTAGGAAAAAGAAAGAAAAAAATAACTAGTCATATGTTTATGTGTGTGCGTGGAGTAATTGTGGTTGTAAATGAATACATTTTCCCTTGAAATATACAGTTCTCTACTTACAACCACAACTCAGGCCAGAACTCCCACTGCCACAAGGTGGTTGTTAAGCGAGTCATGCCTGACTTTATGACCTTTATTGCCACAATTATTAAGGGAATCACAGCAATTGTTAAGCCAACCATGTGGTGCTACAGCGAATCCAGCTTCCCTCATTGACTTTCCTTTTCGGAGGCCAGCTGGGAAGGTCACAAATGGCCATCCAAATGACCCCAGGATTCTGCAACAGTCATAAATATGGATAGTGCTTGACTTACAACAGTTCATTTAGTGACTGTTCAAGGTTACAACACCACTGAAAAAAGTGACTTAAAACTATTTTTCACACGTCTGTTGCAGCAAAAATTCAGGCACTTGGCAACCGACTCATATTTATGACAGTTGCAGTGTCCAGGGGTCACGTGATGCCCTTTTGCAACCTTCTGACAAGCAAAGTCAACCGGGGGGAGCCAGATTCATTGAACAAGCGTGTCA